ACATTAATGGTTGTATATAATATAGACAGACGTTCATGTGACTATTTTTGTATTATTTTTCTTTCACAATGAATGTCGTATATCTTTTGGGATAGATATCGTAGATATGTGATTTTTGAAACCACGTTAAATCCTTTATGCCTTTGCATTTCAAGTTCCCTATTGTTACCTGACTTCCTATTATAGATACAACAAGTGATATAAAGCTGATGATTCAGATTGTCGGAGACTAGAGTTGATGGTTTGGTTTGGATTGGAGACTAGAGTAAATATTATTGGAGAGATGAAGTTACGTGAGATGACTACACTTTTATTTTGGAAACAGGATGAAATAAAACAAGATCTAAAACATATTACAAACCATTATAGGAGTAGTAACCCCCATGAGATCATTCATAACCAAATTCACACACTCCTGGGGAGGATTGTAGAATAGATGCATATCCCAATCTTCATCCGAAGAGGAGCTAGCTATCCAATCTGCAACAACATTACCCTCACGAAAGGTATGGGAAATGACTACTTGCCACGGCCGACTACAGAAGGAGATAATCCTATTCACCAAATTGACATGAGGATGGTGAGAAGCACAACCCGTAGAAATAAGGTGCAAGGCAGAACTCGAATATCCCTTAAGGCAGACTTTTCTATAACCTTTGAAACCAGGCTATCTCAAGGCCAGTCAAAAGGCCCCATAATTCAGCCAACAAAGCATTACCATATCCAAGGTTTTTAGAAAAACCAACCAACCAGCTACCACTGCAATCGCGAATAACACCACCATAACTCATCTTATTACTGTTTCCACGTCTGGAGCCATCAGTATTCACCTTGACCCAATGTGGGGGAGGGAAACACCATTTAATTAACCTTTCCTGATGCAGTGATGGGTGCAAGCCACCACGGTTCAAAGTGGCATCAGCCACCTCAATGTTTGTCACAAAATGGGATATACCATTGTCAACACTGTAGGGGTCAGATCTTTTGTTATTGAAAATCACATTGTTTCTCTCCTTCCAAATAAACCAGCGGGTAACTCCAAACATGGTGCTCCAATGGCTATTGGGGGTAGGAGGATTTAGGTTGCAGCAAACCCAATCATTGAAGTCAAGGTCAAAGAAAAATCCATTTCTCGCATGGTTAAGAATCTACATCCAAATTTCTCTAGACTTGATGCAGTCCTTAAAAACATGCGCCTGATCCTCTACAAATCCATTACATCTATCACAAGCTGAAGAGTCGCTCATATGTCTTCTAACCCTCTGCTCATTCATTAATAACTTGCCACTAACCATTAGCCAAAGAAAAAGTTTAATATGATGCGGACCCTGCCAAAGCCAGGGTATCTGAAGGAGCTCAGAAGTTCGAGAGTTTGTATCATGTACCAAGAAGTTATAAGTGGATCTAACCGTGAATGAACCATCACGCGAGTGCTGCCAAACAACTATGTCATCACCATCTGCAGGACTAAGGATCCCTGCTAAGATATTAGTTACAGCCTGAGGGAGGTATGGCGTAATGCTAGGCCAATCCCAACTGCCCCTCTCATTAACATACTCAGCAACGAAGAGGTTGAGGACATCATCAGGGATGGGAGCTGATACGACAGAAGCAAGGAAATCAACTTGAGGAATCCACTTATCCATCCAAAACTTTGTCTTCGTACCTTCCCCTATCATGATTCTAGACCCCTCCAAAATTTTGCTCCAGTATTTAGTTACACCCCTCCAAAGATTCGAGGCTACAGTAGACTGACCAATAGATGGAAGAAGAACGTCATCCATATTATACTTACTCGTTAGAACTTGCACCCACAAAGCATCGCTATTTGTTAGGATCCCATGACCGAGCTTCATAATAAAAGCCTTATTCATGACACGTAAATTCCTGATTCCCAAACCTCCTGATGAAAAGGGAGAGCAGACAGTATCCCATCTCACCAAGTGCACTTAGTAAAATCACAGCTTCTTCTCTCAAGGGCATTACATAAAATCAGTGGAAGGACAGTGGTCTACATCGAGTAGCGAGGCAGAGCAGCAAGGACAGACTTGGACAAGGTAACCCGCCCAGCCAAGGATAAGGAAGACTGGTTCCAACTATTCAGCCTACTTTGAACCCGATCCAGAATATAAGAATAAGACCGTGTGTTGACACGTTGATGATGAATAGGCACCCCTAAATACTTACCAAGATCATTGGTCATACAGTAGCCCAGCCTATCACAAATCTCTTTAGAGCGAACATGATTAATGTTTCTTGAGAAGAAAACTCTGGTTTTCTCTTGGCTCACGTTCTGACCAGAAGCATCATAGAAGACCCTAAGGACTTGGTTCACCACAACAGCTTGTTCCAAAGATGCCTCCATAAAGAGAAAAATATCATATGCAAAAAAGCAACCAAGGCCATTCTTCTTTAACCGAATAGGCTTCCACGCCTTGGCCCCCACAACAGTTGGGATAAGGTGACTCAACCTTTCAATACAATGGACAAAGAGGTAAGGAGATAGAGGATCTCCTTGCCTAATCCCTCTAGTTGGGTTGAAGTCCAAAGTTGTGTGACCATTCCACAGTAAATTCATAGAGCTGGTCGAAATACAACTCTTAATAAGGTCAACAGCATTAGTAGGGAAGCCTATATCTGCCAAAGTATCGTAATCAAAATCCTAGTTTAACTGGTCATAAGCTTTCTCTAAATCTATCTTTATGGCCATCCAACCAATTTCACCCTTTTTTCCTTTTCATGGAGTGCACTATCTCCTGAACGATTACCATATTGTCAGAGCCGTGATGGCCTTTAACAAAACTACACTGAGTTGGAGCTGTTAGCTTGTTCATCCTCCACTTCAAGCATTCAGCCAAAATTTTTGTAAAAATTTTATGTCACATTGCATAGAGTAATCGATCTAAATCGTTTCATATGCTCAGGACAATCCGCCTTGGGGATAAGACAGATGAGGGTGCTGTTTATGTCTTGAATCTTCCCCGAAGAAGTAAATATGTCCTTCACCATATTACATACAAAGTTCCAAATGGTCTCCCATTGAGTGTGGAAGAAAATAGCCTGAAGACCATCTGGACCTGGTGCCTTAAACTTACCCATCGAGAAAACAGTCCTCCTGATTTCCTTAGATGTAGGAATATGCCCTAGACTATGCAGAGCGCTGACATTCAATGGAGGGAACTGGCCAGAGACAGGAAACTTTGGTATGTCAAAGTCACTCTCCATGTAAAGGTTAACAAAAAAATCCACAGCTAATTTAATGAGATCCTCAGAGTTAGCCACCCAATACCCCTGATCATCCATATACGATTCCTTCGCCTCCTGACAACAGTTGCAGCATGAAAGAACCTGTATTTTTGTCCCCATACTGCAGCCAATTACAACGCGAACGTTGGAACCAAGCAAGCTCTTCACTAATAAGTATAACCTCCAACTCCTTCCAAAGTTGCCTTTGAAGAGCTTCCATACTCCTATCAGGTCTCAAGGCCAGCTGGTTATCTATCCCTCTTAATCTAGCATATAGGTGGTTTTTCTTCCTGTTCTCAGCCTTAAAAACATTACGATTCCAATCTGAGACTCAACTTTGGAATTCAATTCTCCCGCCAGGCCAATCTTCACCACTCCAACAGCTTTTAACAGGCTCCAAATTGATCATGAGTGAGCCAACTAGCTAGAAAGCGAAAAGGTTTGGCACCCGTAGGGTGAAAAATAGGCCCACTATCATAAACAAGGATAGGGCGGTGATCAGAACAAAAGAACGGGAGGTGCATGAGAAATCTATTCGGCCAAGATAGGTTCCATGCTTCGTTCACACAAGCCCTGTCAAGTCTTTGATGCAGCCTACCTCTTTTCCATGTAAAAAGGGGTCCCTTGCAATCCAAGTCATTCAGATCACAAGCATTCATAAAGGAAATCATATCCTGGGCACTACCAGTACAAAACTCATTGCTCCTCATTTTCTCATCCGCACTAAGAACTTTATTGAAGTCCCCCAAGATAATCTAAAGGTAGTGGTTAGGGTGAAAGAGATTGGTGAGCTCAGACCAAAGAGTTTTTCTTTCTACTCTTCTCGGACTCGCGTAGGTGAAGGTAACAAAATTCGTGTTTAAATTGTCCTTATACAGAATATTTGTGTGAACAAATTGATGATGGGACTTGATAACATGAAGCTCAATATCCCAATCATTCCACAACAACCAGATTCAGCCAGAAAAACCCCTTGCTTCTTGCCTAAAGGAGTTATTGAACGACAAGCGTTTGATAATTTTGTTTGCATTAAGGCCACTAACCCTAGTCTCAAGGAGAGCTAACACCTTAATGTTAAACTTAGTTTTCAGGTCTCGGATAAGAGCTGGAATGCCATGCTTACCAGCCCCTTTAACATTCCAAGCACTAATAAACATAAAAACCTATTAAAGCTAAAGGGGAAGAGTCCAAATAGGACCAGCCAAACAGCTACTAATTGGATAGAGAATTCCCTAACAAAGTTAGGGATTTGTCGACAATAATAAAACTTTGCTCCATAGTTAATAATTGAGGCAATGTCAACTCATCAATAACCTTTCCTTTTTCTTCGACATGGGACTAGAATTCAATCCTGGCTGATTATGGTTCTGCACACCCTGAGACAAAGCCATGATACTATCAAGAGACGCCCCGACAACCTGCATGTTGTCCTTAGCTATTTCTATGCTATCAGGTTTCCTCAAAATGATAGCCTTGGGACCCACAACCCTAGTCTGAATGACTTTTGCCTCTGAGCCGTTGGCCTTAGCTGCTTTTTGATTTCCTGACATACCTTTATGTTTCTCAACCTCCGAGGTTTGTGGTTTATCATAAGTCCTTTTATACTTTCCTATATTGATGTTTTTTCCTCCTGCACTTGAGGAGAGGTCCTCAACGCCCTTTCCTTTGTCACTTAGGTTAACAACCTTTTTCCTAGGACCTTTCTCTGCCCCTCGATCAGCTTTATACTAGTCACTTCTCAGAGGTTGGGCTATCTATTCAGAGGGTTGACTTGAAACCATCGAACCTTTGGCCACCGTCTTCGTCTCTATCACCGGAACAACTCTTCTCCGACGACCCTTCCCCATTTTTTGAACAACCCTCCAAGACCCAAATGCTTCTAAGCTATCCTTGGTTACTTCTTCCTTGTTACTCCCTTCCCTGGGCTCTTGTGGTGGATCGTGTTGCTCCTCAGTAGACAAAGACATCACCTGGTTACTGCAATGCTCCTTCTTATGACCACACCTTACACATGAGAAGCAAATCAAATGCAGTTCCTCATAGCCCACATTGAATGTTCTGTCCCCAATCTTAAATTTAGAGAGGAAACTTTTCCTCAAGTCAACTTCTACACAGATGCGTGCATATTTCACTCTAACAGTCACCTCCCCTGATTCACCATCTATATTCCTCAACGAGTTTTTGTCAACCTTCAAAGTTTTCCCAAATATACTGCCGATTCTCTTCAGGTGACTTGAGGAATAGAATTCCAGGGGAAGCCCTGGTATTCGTAGCCACACTGCAAGTTTACAAACCTCATCTTCGTAAGGATCAAAGAGAGGGTGCCATCTTTGAATAATAACATAATGATCTAGCACTATCCATGGATCTTCATGAAGCACATGGGCATAGTCCTCATCATTATGGAACCTGAAAAGCAGATGACAATTATCAAGGTCTATTAGGTCATAAGTTCCCACCAGACTCCATAAACGTTGGAGTCTAGCAGCTAAGAATCTAGCACTGATTCTCTTCCTAATAAGCTTGATAATGAGGGCGTTCTTCCATTGTTTATAGTCCTCTTTATGTTGGCTCTTGGAGTAAACATATGTGGGACATAGAGGATCTCCATCTAGAGCCGTCACTTCCCCGTCCAAATTGATCTCCTCATCTTCTTCTCTAGTTTGGCATTCTATCCAAACATCTACTCCTTCATCCTTCGAGACACCTCCACTACCATTGATTTGCAACATCTTGTCTTTATAGGATATCAACTTCATCCCTTGACTGTTACCATTACCCTTAGGCTCAAGAGTAATGCCTTGAACCTCTATTAGTAACGATACACAAAAGAAGAAGGAAAGAAAATCATGACTGAAAAATATTCTTGTGTATTCATTCATCTGTCTGTTTTGCTAAACAGTGACCAGCTATATACAAGAGTCTCACGGAAAGGTAAAGCAAGGCAAGTTTGTTATAACAAACTATCTGACGTGTAAATGTAACCATAAGAAAACAGAAAAGAAAATAATAAAGGAATAAAGCTGGAATAAAAAAACTAATATTCTAATACTCCCCCTCAAGATGGAGAGTATAAGTTGAGAACTCCCATCTTGGAGAGAAGAGCGTGAAACTGTGATGGATGAAGAGCCTTTGTTAATAAGTCAGCAAGCTGCCTTGAAGATGGAACATGGAAGGTGCGAAGTGTGCCTTTAATGATATGCTCACGAACCAAGTGACAATCAATGTCAATATGCTTGGTACGTTCATGAAATACAGAGTTAGCAGCAATATGAAGAGCATCATTGCTGTCACAGAACAAGTGAGCAGGTCCATTGTGAGTAACATGTAGATCACGCAGTAAAGAAAGCAACCATAATATCTCACAAGTAGTCACTGCCATAGCACGATATTCTGCCTCAGCAGAAGAACGAGAGACTGTTTGCTGCTTCTTGGATTTCCAGGAAATTAAGGAATCACCAAGAAAGATGCAAAATCCTGACACTGACTTTCGGCTATCAGGGCAAGAGGCCCAGTCAGAATCACAGAAAGCATGTATCTGCAACTTGGAGGCAGATGAGAAAAAAAGACCTTGGCCAGCAGTAGACTTCAAGTATGCTAACACACGTTGAGCAGCTTGAAAGTGAGGAACTCGTGGGGAAGACATGAACTGACTTAAATGATTAACCACAAAACAAATATCTGGCCGAGATACAGTCAAGTAAAGGAGTTGACCAATCAGTCTTCTATAAGTTGTAGGATCAGGAAGTAATTCACCTTCATGGAGGGATAGCTTGAGATTGGCATCCATTGGTGAGGAGCTGGGTTTGCAACCAAGAAGACCAGTATCCTCAAGAATTTGGAGTGTATATTTGCGCTGACATAATGAAATGCCATTAGGAGACCGTGCAATTTCCAAACCAAGAAAATACTTGAGAGTACCCAAGTTTTTGAGTTTGAATTTACTGTCCAGAACTGAAGTTAATTTCTGCACCTCATGAGCAGCATTATAAGCAATGATAATGTCATCAACATAAACTAATATTCCTATAAAAAAATCATTGTGCTTCTGAACAAATAAGGAGTTGTCAGCATGAGATTGAGTAAAACCAAGAGTAGTTAAAGTAGAAGAAAACTTGGCAAACCATTGCCTAGATGCCTGCTTCAAACCATATAAGGACTTAGTGAGCTTGCAAACAACATTATGAGGGAGCTCCCCTTTTCCAGAATAACCAGGAGGAAGTTGCATGTACACTTCCTCAAACAAGTCACCATGTAAAAAAGCATTGTTGACATCTAATTGAGTAAGATGCCAACCATGACTAGCAGCAAGTGCAAGAAGCATTCAGACAGTGGTGATTTTGGCCACAGGGGAAAAAGTTTCAAAAAAATCTATACCTTCATGTTGATTAAATCCTTTGGAAACAAGTCTTGCCTTAAAACGTTCAAGTGAACCATCAGAATGGTATTTGACTCGAAACACCCGTTTACAACCAACAATGGGTTTTCCAGGAGGTAGAGAAGTGACTTGCTAAGTGTTATTAGCCTCAAGAGCAAGTATTTCAGCTTTCATGGCCTCAGTCCATTCGGGTAGTTGAGAGGCTTCAGAATAAGTGGTAGGCTCAAAATGGTTAGCAATAGAATTGATGAAAGCCATGTGAGGTGGGGAAATTTTATTGTAGGAGAGATGATTGGAGATGGGGTGGGCTGTGGAGGAGGAACAAACATAATCAGCAAGGTAAGAGGGAGGCTTTGTAATGCGATTTGATTTAGGATTAAAGGGAATAATGGTGGGTGAAGTTGTAACAGAAGTTGGAGGAGATAAAGGAATAGGGATGGAAGTAAATGGGGATGTGGTTAGAGTTGAAGTATGAAAAGGAAAAATATGTTCAAAAAATGTGACATCTCGTGTTATGATGACACGATTGGAAGACAGATCTAAAACTTTATATCCCTTATAACCAGTGGGGTACCCAATGAAAACAGCTGGTAATGATCTTGGTGAGAATTTATGCCTAGATTTGGGCAGCGTGGAATAATGACAAAGGCAACCGAATACCCTAAGATGATCATATGTAGGAGACTTGTGACAAAGAAGCTCAAAAGGTGTTTTGTTGTGAAGAAGAGGAGAGGGAATTCAGTTGATCAAGTATATGGCAGTGATGACACATTCAGTCCAATAAACCAAAGGTAGGTGTGATTGAAAATACAATTATCTGGCAACATTCAGGATATGCTGATGTTTCCTTTCAACCACTGAGTTTTGTTGTGGTCGATCAACACATGAGTGAAAAAGTTGGATGCCTTTTGAAAGAAAAAATTCAGAGATAAGAAATTCAGGTGCATTATCACATCTAAGAGATTTAATGTGGAGATTGTATTGAGTTAACATAAGAGTGTAGAAGTGAGGAAAAACAACCTTGAAATCAGATTTGTGATGTAAAAAATAGCACCATGTAAAACGAGTTGCATCATCCACTAAGGTCAAAAAATACTTGCAACCAGTAATGGAGGGAGTCTGGAATGGACCCCAAATATCACAATGGACCAAGTCAAAAGCATTTTCAGAGATTTTGGGATTTAAAAGAAAAGGTAAACGTTTTTGTTTAGCAACAGGGCAAATCATGCAAGGGGTAGAATCACAGCCAGTATTAGTAAAATGCAAAGTATGCTTCATTGAATTCAAAACTGAAGTAGACAAGTGACCTAAACGGGAGTGCCAAACAACAGATTCTGGCACTCGAATAACAGAATTAAGGGAGGGGGAAACAACATACTGGGAAAGGGAAGATTCTAAAACATAGAGACCAGCAACCCGATTAGCAATCCCAATCACTTTGGCCGAGGAACGGTCCTGAATACAGCAAGAAGAAGCAGAAAAATTAGCTTCAATGGAGGTGCTGTGAGTGAGAGCACTTATAGATAAAAGATTAAATGAAAAAGACGGTACAAATAAGACATTGTGGATGGTGAGGGAAGGTGAGATGCGTACACTACCAGTAGAAACAACCGAAACCGTGGGGCCATTAGGAAGGGACACGACAGATCCAGAAAGAGTAGTGGAGGAAATAAAAAAATTGGGGTGTACAAGTGACGTGATGTGTGGCACCCGTGTCTAAAACCCAAGAGGAAACAGAGAGAAAAGAACATGACCTACCACTGAAGCTAGCAACTGAAGGAGGTGGGTCAGAAGCAGCTTTCGGCGAAGCAGATGATGGAGACGTTGGTGGGGTGTGGGAGTCGGTGGGATGAAGCAAACCTAGTAACTGTTGGTACTGACCATGGGTCAATGTGGGCTGAGTGTTGTTGGGTTGATAGTGTGATGGAGAAAAATTAGGGAAGCTAGCATTAGCTGAGGGATGAAGTGGTGTGGGCCTTGGTGGTTTGGGCTTGTACCCAGGAGGGAAACCATGAAGCCTGAAACACTTCTCCCTTGTGTGACCAGCAACGTTGCAATACGTGCACTAAGGGCGAGGGCGTCGAAATGAACCAGAAGAAGCAGCAACCAAAGAAGTATTACCAGGAGTAGACGATGGAGATGCACCGGAAGCGGAATTCAGTAACGGAGTGTCAGGTAAAATCGGTGGAGAAGTGGTGATCTGTCTTTGACGTTCTTCTTGAAGCACAAGGGAAAAAATTCGACTCAGCTGTGGAAGAGGTTCCATGAGAAGAATTTGTGCCCTAACAGAGAAGAAGGAATCATTGAGCCCCATTAAGAATTGCAGAGCTTGATCTTGTTGACGAAGATCAAGAAAAGAACGAGAAGCACCACAGTTGCAATTAGGAGTGGGAGCATAATCATGAAGCTCATCCCAAAGAATTTTGAGACGAGTGTAGTAACCATTGACATCGAGGCTCCCCTGAGTGAGAGAGGAAATTTGTTGTTTCAACTGGAAATTTTTTGGACCATTGGCCTGAAGAAAACGAGTGCGCAGATCTTGCCAAATCTCAAAAGCAGAGGAGAAGTAAAGAAGACTATCAGCGATATCTCTGGAAACCGAGTTCAAAATCCAGGAAGTCACCATCGAATTGCATCGACTCCATGAAGAAAAAAGGAGATCATCAGTTGCAGGACGAGGCAGAGAGCCATCAACAAACACGAGCTTGCTTTTCGCAGAGAAAGCAATCATCATTGCTCGGCTCCATGAATGAAAATTAGGGCCAATAAGAACATGGGTGACTAGAACAAGTCCAGGATGATCACCACTGCTCAAAAAATATGGACTGGAATGATCGTCCATGGATGGAGGAGTAGAAACTCGATTGGTGTTATTGTTTGAGCCACGAGCCATGACAACGACAAGGGCTAAATTTCATCTGATACCATATTAGTAACGATACACAAAAGAAGAAGGAAAGAAAATCATGACTGAAAAATATTCTTGTGTATTCATTCATCTGTCTGTTTTGCTAAACAGTGACCAGCTATATACAAGAGTCTCAAGGAAAGGTAAAGCAAGGCAAGTTTGTTATAACAAACTATCTGACGTGTAAATGTAACAATAAGAAAACAAAAAAGAAAATAATAAAGGAATAAAGCTGGAATAAAAAAACTAATATTCTAATAACCTCCATCTCAATATTTCCAGATACTACTACAAAAGCGGGGCCATTTTCCAGCATCTTTACGTCATACTGTTCACCTTCTTCAAGGGAAACCATGGGATTTTTAACACAACAGTTCCTCGAAACGTCATCCTCTAAACATACACTTCCGAGAGTGTGTTTCTCTTGAACCACTACCATTGTTTCTTCTCTACCCGAAATTTTTTTATGCCCCATCTCCAAGAACTCCGGTCACGAATCACTCACTACATAGTACCTAGAAACCCCGCTCTCCTGTATTTTCAAACTTACTCTCTATGAAGAATATTTAACTTAAGTGTTTTGGGTCCCAATAGCAGATGGTGCAATCCCCGTCCTTTACGAGATACTACACTTGTTCAGGGGCCTAGGTGTTCAAATCAGGTGGAGTTGTGTTTATTATGGTTGATTCGAGTTACGTAACTGGTATGCGTGTAGTGTCTAATGATACTTGTATGTAGTTTTTTTGACAAAAGAAGGGTTCTTAATAATTTGGTGCTCGTCATGAAGTCATAGAGATTTATTGAGAGATTGGCTCATGTATCTTGATAAAGATAGGGATTGGTTTACTTATATATTATTTTATTTTTTTCGATATACCGGCCTAATTATTTCTTTGAGAGTATTCTCAAAATTTTCAATTCTTTGCCAAAACTACATAAGATTTAACTTGTAAACTAAGGAGTCTTAGGCTTTATTTGGGAGTTTAGAGAGGAAGGGAAGGAATGGGGATCCAAGGGGGGAGGAGAAGGAAGGGAAAGAAATTGAAGGGTATTCTCTTCTCTTGTTTGGGAGTTAAAAAATGGTAAGGGAGAAAAATGGAGGGTTAATGAGATATTTTTACCATTTTACACTTTTTTAAAATTAATAAAATTATTATATTTTACAAATTAAGTTAAATTTAAAATTTCTAACAAAATTATTTATGACCTTTTCACAATACTAAAAAAGATTATATTTTCGATGAAATTTCTACGTTGCAAACGAAGAAAATTTCATCACAAAATTATTTTTTCGTCAGAATACTTTTTGTCAAAAAGTGACGGAATTTTTTCTCCGATGAAAATTTTTGCAAAAATAAATTTTCTATCGAAATTTTCGACAAAATTTAGTTTTCGTCAAAAGTTTGACGAAAATGATTTCCTCCATCAAATGTTTAAAAATGAAAAAAGAATTCCGTCAAAAATTTTGACGAAAAGTTTTCTGTGCAAAATTTCGATGGAAATATGTTCTGACTAAAATTTCGACGAAAATTCTTTTGTCAAAAAATTTCAGGGAAATGTTTCATTTGAAACTTTCGACGAAATTTAGATTTTGTAAAGAATTTTGACAGAATATTTTTTTCGTCCACATTTTTTATCAAAAATTTTTTTGCCAAAAATGTTTAGGAAAATATTTTTTGTTGAATTTTTTTGACAAAAATGTGTCCCGTTGAAAATTTTAATGGAGATGTTTTTTATCAAAAAACTTGACGAAAATATTTTTCGTCGAAATTTTTCAATAGAAATATGTTTCGTTAAAAATTTCAATTGAAATTTTTTTTGTCAAAAAGTTTAACGAAAATATTTTCGTCAAAATCTTTCGGAGAAATTTGAATTATGTAAAGAATTTTGATGAAAATTTGTTCCGTCAAATTTTTTGATGGAAATATTTTTCGTAAAAAATTTCATTGAATATGTTTTTTTGTGAAATATTTTGACGAAATTTAGATTTCTTAAAAAAATTAGACAAAAAAAAATTTTCGTAAAAAATTTTTACATAAATGTTTTTAGTCACAAATTTTGATGGAAATATTTTTTGTCGAAAAATTTTGCGAAAAATTTTGATGGAAATGTTTTCCATAAAATATTTTGACGTTATTGTTTTACGTCGAAACTTTTCGATGGAAATGTGTTTCGTCAAAATTTTGGACGAAAATATTTTCGTTGAAAGTTTCGACGAAATTTAGATTCTATCAATAATTTTAACCAAATTTTTTTTTTCGTAAAAAATTTATGTTAGTGATTATGGCAAAATCTGGTTTTGTCTTTAGTTGTGACAGAATTTTTTTGACGTATATAATTTTCATAAAAAAATTTGCCACTATTTTTGACGAAATATTTTTCATCGATAAATTCTGTCGGTGTTTGAGACTTTTCTGATAATTTCACATTTATGTAGTTTTTACATTTTATGGAGAAGGAGGGTTTTTGAGGATTTAGTAAAAATCTTCAATTTCTTCCCCTCATTTTTTTAAAGTCACAAATAAGGGAAGGGCTTACTAAAAGCCTCTATTTCCTTTCTTTCCTCTCCTAAAACCAACTACCAAACAAAGTCTTAGAGATCAACAAGATTTGCATAGAGATCAAGGAGGCTTGATATAAATAGAACCAATAATTTATTATCTAGTTGTGTTGGGAGATTGAGAAAGAATAAGCATTAGAAGGGTTCTTTCCTTCTTGGTGAACCCAGAAAAATTTCTTTATATCCGCACATTTAGTCCGAAATTTTTTTTTTGTAAAGAAAGTTTAAATTAACGCTTGAACCCGCTCATAATCTAGTTGCTTCCATAATAAGCTGCAGGCAATAGTTTAATCATCTCCGTACGTTGCTAACTAATATAAGAATAAATATCTTTTTTGGTCCCTAACAAAAAATTCGGCCCCCACTTTAGTCCATTATAAAAAAAAATATTAGTCACCTAGTCCCTGTGAAATTCAAAGTGGACCTATTTTGGTTTTTTTGAGGGATTAATGTAGGTCTTTTTTTGAATTTGCGAGGGAACATGATTTTACCTAAATTGATCCATTTTGAATTTTTTAAGGACCTCGAGACTTTTTTTTTTTGTAAGAGACTAAATAGAGATCATATTTTTTGTTAGAGACTTAAAATGGTATGTATTCCTAATATAAATATTGAATTAAGAGAAAAATTAGTACCTGTAACAAAGAAAAAGAAACTAAGTTCAAAAGTTTTATGTCCGCACTGGCAGACATTTGTCCCAACGTGGGTCCGCCAGTGCTTGGCGTTATGTAAGATATAATGTATAAGGAATTTTGGGAATGAATTAGGTATTTTAACTCCATTTGATATTCTTGTACTATTTTTTTTTTTCTGATTGTAAAAATGTTTTATCCCCTTAGAGGAAGTAGACATGTGATTTGCCAATCTTAATACAATTTATGTTACCGTAATTTGATGTTCTTGCAAATCGGTTGTGATGGATTGTTAATGTGAACAATTGGGCTTAATGAGTTGGGCTGATTTGCAAGCAAAGGGGTGAGACAAATCACTTACATGTACAATGTCGGACATTCGGACACCCTTCCATCGTTTTCTACTGCAGCTTCTTCTCCTTGGACTTTCATGGCCATTTGCCTAATCATCAAATCAAACTCATTCATCTATCCTTAAATTGCTGCAGCTTCAGTTGAATATTTTCATTGCCATTGCTATGGGGTTCTCTTAGAATAAAAGGTGTGTATTGTTTTGGACAATATGTTATGGGAAAAATATTTATCCTTTTAAACTATATAAATTTATGTCATTTTAGATCTTAATCATTGATTTCTATCAATTAATAATTATAATTTATTGGATCAAATTTATTAATTAATTAGTAATTAACAATAAATTATAACCGTAAATTGATAAAAATAAATGATTATATTTTAAAATGACACAAAATTATAACTTTTGTAAGGAAAAATATTTTTCCCCTTATGTTATATGTTTTTTATTACGACTCTTTGGCATCTTTCGATTTAGTCTGTAGGCAAAACTAGCTATAAAGTCTTGTTTCAACCAAAAGCTTAAGACATTAACTTTATAGTTTCTCTCAATTAACCAACCAATGTTGAACTTCATCATTCTTCCATATCTAATAGCTATAAAGAAATAAATTCATTGCAAACGAGCACTACGATTAAACTGAGTCTATTCAAAATCTTAGGCTCGGAAAGCTCCTGACCCCCAAAACTTTTTGTAACTAGAAAAAATAAATCCCCATAACTCTTCCATTAAAGGTTTTTTTTTTTTTGAAAGAGTAAGGCTGGACATGTCGGTAAGAACTAGTTTTCTTTTAAATTTTTTTCACAATATATAGTTTTTCAAAACTTTACGTAAATATATAAAAACCAAGAACAACTTTAATGAAGATATAGATGCATACATTCCAAAATAGAACATAATGTTTATAATTATTGATGCATTTTCCAAAATAAGTACTCAAAACCATGTCTCAAAAGATCAAATATTGGAAACAAAGAGGCAGAAGACATATATAGCACTCTCAATTCAATAACAGACTGATATCTCCAAATCACTTGAAGCCCTTGGAAGTGTCATCACGAACTCTTCTATATCACGGTAAAACGCCACACTCCTACCATCATCACGTTCAACCTCTCCCTTGCGCACATTGATATTAACCTTTTTCAATACCCTCCCACAACGGATAATATAGTAGAGCACAAGAAGCCCATTCACGGTCCCTTCGAAGTTCTTCACCTCCACCACCTTTAGAGTTGATATCAAGCATTCATAAACAGTTACGTTGGCCATCCAGATTCTCTGATAGTCAACATCCAATTGACATTCATCACCCTATAATGTATACAACCATATGTAAAATGTTACAAATCAAGTCTTAATGTATATATAAGTTAGAGATATAATAAAATTATTCGTGTGCCTTCACCAAATAGTTTAAACTACTTTTGGGAGAGTCTCCACTAATTAAGTAAACTAGAGTTTGTTAATGATAGCTTACTCACAAATAAACGGAGAGAGAGAGAGAGAGAGAGAGAGATACTCACATCCAAATCTCTTCCTAGGCCTAATTCAAAGGTGAGAGACTCTAGCATGGGGCAGCTATAGAGCAAGAATGAGATTCCATGGAGTTCATCGTTGTACAAGTTTGTCTTCAATATCAAATGCCTTGCATTCATGTCACGTTCTGTACGTAACGCTCGTCCCGTATGAATAACCTTAGCACATGAAGCACAAGCATTTAAAACATATATTATAGTATATAGGCAAAACTAGCACGTACATGTGATTCTTGAAGTACACAACAATTCATCGTGTTAATTTGCATAAGTGATCGAACGAATTAAAGATATATAATTAGATCAATTAATGTAATAAATTCAACATATAATTTAATAAGGGAAGGATTGGAAGTAAATCTAAATTCTAAACAAATATTTAAAGCAAAGCATATATATATAATCATAGCTGTTGATTTCGTGAATCTAACGGTTATAATTTATTGTGTCATATTTATTAATTAATTATTAATTTTTAATAAATTATAATAGTCAAACTAAAAAGTTTGATACCGATGTCAAATGATCCTATCCATATATGTGTGTATGAAAAAGAGAGTATGAAAAGTACCTGAAGTATGTAACTGCAGACAGTGAGAACCCTAACAGGGTAGACATCTTTCAGCAGATTGCAAAGATAAGGAACATGCCAGGCAACGGTTTCGAATTCAAGGTCAAAGTCAAGATCAACCTCTTCCATGACTAAGGGGCTTTTTATTTCAAACAAACTCATTATCCCATAATACTTGAAAACAATAAGATTTGGTGCATTGATTTTGAACAAAACATTTTGAAAATAGCAATTGTCAACAACAAGCCTTCTCAACCTCAAATCATCACCTTCAATTTTAAATTCACTCGAGTTCCAGCATCTTTTCAAACTTAAACTCTCAATCATCTTACAATTTGATAGCAATGAATTAATAAGAGTGAGCTTTACTTCCACCCACCCAAAAGAAACTTCTTTGAGTGCATGCAAGTTAAGCAAATCAGCTTCAAGAAAACCACAGGAAAACAGCTTCAAATATTCAAGGGCTTTTTGCTCATAAACATATTTTGGCAATTCAACCGAAGCGTTATGTTCGTTAACAAACACTTCCTCCTCCCAATTGGGATCAGAAAAATCTAGCCCCAACTCTTTCAAACCATGTTGTGTGGCCAAGGCAAAACACCTTTCTATGATACCATGAGCATTTTCAGGCTTTGATAATCTCAAAGAGAACTTTTCCACCACGGGCTCTTTGCAGTTATCAAGCCAAAATGTCATGAACTTTAGAAAATCCCTTCTTTGGATTTCTCTTTCACGGCGTGGTTGATTGAGTTTAACAAAAAAGAGTTCATTGAACTCTATATTTGTTGTTTTCTCCCAAAGGTGGATCCAACGTTTTGAAAGGACAGATGTTCTTATCGCTTCCTTAAAAGGAAGGAAGGAAATGATGATGAGAAGCAATGATTCAGGCAACAAAGTAAACCTATCAATGTTCTTTTCCATAGCTACTATGGTGATTGGTGATTGGTGATAGTGGTGAAGGTGATGGTGGGGTTTTCTTGTATATGTTTCAAGAGAATGAAGGCAATGGATGCAAATAGAGGAGGGTGCTCTGATCTGATGAAAATTTTGGTGGAACGATATGTCACTCTACTACATATATATATATATATATATATATATATATATATATATATATATATATATATATATTAAGAAAACTAAGCAAACACAATCTAAAGTAATTAATTACTTGCCAAATACAACTTTTTGGTTTTGAAAATATTCAAAGGGCAAGAACAACCGTTTATCTCTTTAACACATGCGGCTGCATTTTTAAACATGGAAGTATTAAACTTATGGTAAGAAGATTAATGGTATTATTAAATGCATATTAACAGTTTCAAAGGAAAAGGATAAAATATAATTAAATACAATTTGACTTTTTAACTCTATTAATATTTTTAAAAAAAATTATAAATAATAATTAGTAAAAATATTAAATGTATAACTTTTGAAGAATAATATTAAATGTAAAAATAAGAATCTTAATATTCAAATTATACGAAGAAGCTTTTACCATATATATATATATATATATATATATATATATATATATATATATATATATATATATATATATATATATAGGGTTCATTTTTTCTACAGTCAATGTAGATAATTTATCTACAGTGAGCCCAAAACGACGTCGTTTTGAGTTAAAAATCAAGGTATTTTTGTAATTATAATTTATTTCAGGGTTATAATAGTCTTTTTCATTATAATTTTTTAATTTTTCAACCCAAAGCGACGTCGTTTTGGGAGCAAATGTAGATAACTTATCTACATTGAATTTAGAAACATTAAAGTCATACATATAAAACAAGCAACAAATAATGCTATTAAATACATATTAACTGTTAATGGGTGATATTCTAGCATTTAATTTGGATCTTCTACTTTTGTAAAAAAAATAAAAAATAAAAATAAAATTATACAGTTACTCTAAAATATATTGGGGAGGATCCACTTACCACCAAAAAAGTTTACAACTCTTACAACTAATTTAATCACCGTTGATTTCCGTCAATCCAACGGTTATAATTTATTAGAAATTAATAAATGTGACACAATAAATATTATTAATTTATAACCGTTGGATTGACAGAAATCAACGGTGATTAAATTAGTTGTAAGAGTTGTAAACTTTTTTGGTAGTAAGTGGATCCGTTCCCATTTATTTATACTAGTATCTAATCATGTATTATAACATCATTAGATAACAATGGATACTTGAATTGATGAAAAGCTAAACCCATTGAACGATGCGTCAATGCATGTATGACTAATTATAATATAAAATTTGGGAGGGTTTTAATCTATGAAACACCGAAACTTCAAAACCCTGACGTGTCGTGTCCGACACTTCCTGACACTCTCGGATACTCCGACACTCCCCGACACTCCAACACGCGTTATTGAAATTCAAACAACGGTTCAAAGGTTAAATTGCGTTGAGTTTTTAGTTCCAACTGTTAGATTCGTTAGATTACGATTTCCATTTTATTGAGTTTAATATAAATATTTGGAATATCTTATGTTTCTTTGCAAAATTTATGAATATTATAAGTTTAGATACATTTTTTTGTTAAATTATTGAATATTAAAGATAATATATACTACATAAATTAAATATATTATTTAATATCAAAACGTGTCCTAACGTGTCGAAATTTAACATTTTTTAGAATTAACATGTCGGAGTGTCGTGTCGTATCGTGTCACGTGTCCCGTGTCAGTGTCGGTACTACATAGGTTTTAATACCTTAATCCTGGACCCATCCCGAATTGGATTAGTTGCAAAACGATGAACCGATTGGAATATTTCCACACACAAAATTATAATATAAAAAGATATTATATTTATAATAAATGAATTATAATAACAAGCGCAAGAACAACCGTTTATCTCTTTTTCTTTTTTCTTTTTTAAACATGGAAGTATTAAACTTATGGTATGAGGATTAATGGTATTATTAAATGCATATTAACAGTTTCAAAGGAAAAAGATAAAATACAATTAAATACACTTTGCCTTTTTAACTCTATTAATATTTTAAATTTTTTATAAATAATAATTAGTAAAACTGTTAAATGCATAACTTTTGAAGAATAATATTAAAAGTAAAAATAAAATATAATTAATATTGATAAAGTTTTTTAAACAAAGTATATATATATATATATACACTTTGTTTAAAATATAATTAATATTGATAAAGTTTTTTAAACAAAATATAATTAATATTGACTCCAGAGTAAAATTTACAAGTGTTATTCTTTATCTTAACCGTTAAGAAGTCATATTATTTAATTATTAATTATACTGCAAATGACAACCGTGGATTTCCGTTCATAAATAGCTGAGTTGGAGAGTAATTTAAGTCTCACTCTTAGTTAGAAGAACCACCCCCCTGCTCAAAAAACACACACACACACACATATATATATATATATAAATATACACATATATATATATAAGATCTTTTGACTCTAGAGTAAGACTTATAACTTTTACTCCTCATCTCAACCGTTGATTTTCGTCCATCTAACGGTTATCTATAACAATTAATTATTTATTTATTTCAAATAAATAATAACCGTTAGATGGACGGAAATCAACGGTTGAGATGAGGAGCAAGAGTTGTAAGTTTTACTCTAGAGTCAAAAGATCTATCTCCATATATATATATATATATATATATATATATATATATATATATATATATATATAGGGGTAAGTTTTACTCTAGAGTCAAAACAGATCAATTAATGGTGTCACATGTTTACAAATCAAAATCGTTATATCAATACAATATCAACAACGCTCAAATGTTTCATACATGTGTCAAATGATCATTTTTCATATATGACTAATTATAATATAAAATGATATTATTTTTATAATAGATCAAATTAAACTTAATATTCAAAGGGTATGAATTCAATATAATTTAAATTTTGAAAAGTTCTTAATAAAGAAATATAATTTAAACATGTTCGGTGCATATTCTAAAACAAATAAGCTGCAATTAATGGTATTACTGAATGCATATTAACTTTTTTAATAAAAATATTAAATGGGTCCTTTACCAAAAAAAAAATATTAAATGGGAGAATCTATATTATATATTGTCTTGAGGACAACTAAATAATATCACCAAATACATATGAATTTTAAAAGAAGCTAGAGAACTAAATAGTAAACTTAAAAAGACAAAGCTTAAACGGGCATATAAAAATAAATGATTGTGTTAATTATAATTAAAAGAATTATATAATAATGACTTAAATCTAAAAAAAAAAATTAACTGTATTAAAGTCTGAGATTTAGTAAAACAAATCAATCGAGAAGTTTCAATGATAATATACAGAAAAAAATGGCATCAAAAAATTCAAAGGGCAATAACAATATTGTTAAAATCGAGATCTTAAGTAAAATCGGAAGAGAATTAAAAAATCATAAAACGTAAAATCTTAATGTAAAAAAATCATAAAAACGTAAAAGCGATTGGAATATTAGTAAAATTGTTTTCATGAAAAAAAATTGTAAAAACGTAGAATCGTAGTGATAAATCGATATTTTAACAACAATGGCAACAACAACCGTTTATCTCTTAACACCTAGAAGCATTAATTATTAAACATATAAGCATTAAACTTATGGTAAGAAGAAATTAATGGAAATACCAAAAAAAAAAAAAAAAACGGAAGAAGCAGTCAATGGTACTAGTAAATGCATATTAACATTTTCAGAGAAAAAGGATGAAATATATTTTAAAAAACTTTTCCTTTTTAATTCTATTGATATAATAAAGTTGTTAAGATAGGATATTATATGTCTACCTTTTTCATGCCTATTCTACTTATTTTATTCTAATATCAATATATCAGAATCTCAAAGAGAGAGAAAAGACGAATCTTAGTTGAGATTTTGATATATTAATGCCATTGGAGAAAAGTAGGTAAAATAGGCATAAAAAAAAGGTAAGCATAATATTCTATCTCAAAGTTCTTTTATAAAAATTAATTAATAAATGTAATAGGATATTGTTCCTTCCTCTCCCTTTTTATGCCTACTCTACCTACTTATGTCCGACTTCATTAGATCATAATCTCAATTAATATTCATCATTTATCTCTCGTCATTATATTCTAATCTAATTATACTTGAAATGAGTAGGTAGAGTAGGTATGAAAACAAAACTAATAAAAATAAGAGTAAATACCATTTTTGGTCCTCAGCAAATTTCATGAAGCTCGTTTTAGTCCCTAGCAAATAAAAAGGCCCATCGTAGTCCCTAAAAAATTCAAAATGGACTAATTTAGTTGAAATCGAAGTCCCTCACAAATTCAAAAAAGATCTATATTAGTCCTCAAAAGGACTAAAATGGGTCCATTTTGAATTTCTTAGGGACCACGATGGGCCTTTTTATTTGCTAGGGACTAAAGCGAGATTCGTGAAATTTGCTGAGGACCAAAAAGGGTATTTACTCTAAAAATAATAAATGCATAGCTTTTGAAGAATAATATTAAATTTAGAAATATTTTAAACAAAGTATATACTTTTTGTGGAAAAGACGTAGTTTACATCTTCAAATTATACTAAGAAGCTTGTACCATATATATTAAGAAGCAATAAGTTGTTCTTAATTGAATCTAGTTAAGTTGTGGGTACAGGGATGATCCATGTAACACCGCAGTTCGTGACCGGTTAGTTAACATGCATATGGTTCAGAAATGCTACATAATTAAATGCTTAAGCGGAAGACTTAACCTATATATAAGAATCATTGTTATTTGTGTAACTAGTGACTTGACTTTTTCTTTAAGTTATTTTTACGTATTGTCACGCGTATTTTGTTTTCCAAAATTATTGATATTATCATTATTATTATTATTTGTACAGTCTCATACCTGCACAGAACTCTAAATTATGTTCT